GTTCATGGATTGGAAGACTCAACAGAGTAAAGATGTTAATTCTCTAATTTCATCTATAGGTTTAACATAATTCCTATTTAAATCTCAGCAAGTTTTTTTGTACATAGATACAAGCTTATTCTAAAATTTATATGCAAAGAAAAAGGCCCCAAGGATAGCCAAAATTTTTTTTGAAAAATAGTATAGTGGGAAGAATCACTCTTTCCAATATTAAGGCTTACTATATAACTGCTGTAATCAAAAGTATGGTACTAGCAGAGGAGTAGTTACAAAGATCAATGGTACAGAACATAGATCTCAGAAATGGAGCCACACAAATGTGCTCAACTAATTTCTGATAACGGTGAAAAAGCAACTCAATGGAGGACGGATAACTTGTTGAAAAAAATGGTGATGGAGAACTAGACATCCATAGGTAAAAAGTTAAACCTTGACCTGAAGTCTCACATCTTCTACAAAAAGGTACTCAAAACGGATTACAGATTTAAATGGAAAATGTAAAACTATAAAAGTTCTAGACAAAAACATAGAAAACCTTTAGGACCTAGGACTAGGTGGTGTTCTTAGACTTAACACCAAAAAACAAAACCAAACAAAAAAACAACAACAAAACCCCCTAACAATTCATAAGATTTAAAAGATGAATAAAGGCTAGACTTCATCAAAATTAAACTTTTCTCTGCAAAAGACAATGTTAAAAGGATTAAAACACAAATTATAGACTTGGAGAAATTATTTCTTTAAGTCACATATCCAACAAAGGCCTATCTATTGGGTTGGCCAAAAAGTTCCTTAGGTTTTTAAGTAAAAATAAAAGACACAGTTTTCATTTTCATCAAGAACTTTATTGAACAACGTATTCACCGTTTTGTTCCACTACCTTCTGCCATTTTCAGGCAACTTCCTAATTCCATCTTCCCAAAACTTTTTATCTTTTTGAGCAAAGAACTGTTCCAAGTACCTTTTACAGTCTTCCAGGCATTGAAATTTTTTCCATTAAGGGAATTTTGTAAAGACTGAAATCAATGGAAATCCGAAGGTGCAATGTCTGGTGAATACGGTGGATGAATCAGAACTTCCCAGCCAAGCTGTAACAGTTTTTGTCTGGTCATCAAAGAAACGTGCAGGGCTTCCCTGATGGCGCAGTGGTTGAGAGTCCGCCTGCCGATGCAGGGGACACGGGTTCATGCCCCGGTCCGGGAAGATCCCACATGCCGCGGAGCGGCTGGGCCCGTGAGCCATGGCCGCTGAGCCTGCGCATCCAGAGCCTGTGCTCTGCAACGGGAGAGGCCACAACAGTGAGAGGCCCGCGTACCGCAAAAAAAAAAAAAGAAAAGAAACATGCAGTCTTGCGTTATCCTGATGAAAGATTATACGTTTTCTGTTGACTAATTCCAGACGGTTTTCATTGAGTGATGCTTTCAGTTGGTCTAATTGGGAGCAGCACTTGTTGGAATTAATCGTTTGGTTTTCCGGAAGGAGCTCATAATAGAGGACTCCCTTCCAATCCCACCATATACACAACATCACCTTTTTGGATAAAGACTGGCCTTTGGTGGTTCACTCTGCTTGCCTCATGATCTCTTCCATTCCACATTATTGTACAGTATATATTTTCCATTGCCCGACACAATTTGTTTTAAAAACAGAACGTTTTCATTACGTTTAAGTAGAGAATCGCATGCGGAAATACGGTCAAGAAGGTTTTTTTCGCTATGTGGAACCCAAATATCAAAATGATTAACATACCAAGCTGGTGCAAATGATTTTCAACGCTTGATTTGGATATTTTGAATATGTCGGCTATCTCCCATGTGGTGTAACATTGATTGTTCTCAATTAATGTCTCGATTTGATTGCTATCAATTTTAACTGATCTACCCGACTGTGGAGCATCATCCAGTGTGAAATCTCCAGCACGAAACTTCGCAAACCACTTTTGTCATGTTCGATCAGTCACAGCACCTTCTCTATACACTGCACAAACCTATTTTTGCATTTCAGCTGTGTTTTTACTTTTCTGGAAATAATAAGGCATAATATGCCGAAAATGTTGCTTCTTTTCTTCCATCTTCAGTATCAAAATAGCTACACAAAAATTCACCAATTTTGATTTTTTTAAAAAATGTACTCTGATATGACAGGTATCACAATACAATCTAACAAAACTGTTTTGAATGAAGTTAAAGACAACTAAGTGCACTAGAACCATCTTACAGAAAAAACCGAACTGTTTGGCCAACCCAAAAGAATACATAAAGAACTTTGAAAACTCAACAGCAAAAAAACCCAAACAATCAAATCATAAAATGGGCAAAAGACATGAACAGACATTCACTGAAGAGGATACACAGATGGCAAATAAACATGATTTTCTATTAAGGAAATTCAAATAAAAACTATAATGAAATATCATTACCCACCTATCAGAATGGTTAAAATGAAAAACTGATAACACCAAGTGCTAACTAGGATTCAGTGAAGTGCATCATTCATACACTGCTAGTGTTTGGCAGTTCCTTTCAAAACTAAAAATGAGCTTACCTTACACCCAGCAATTGCATACTTGAGCTTTATCCCAGACTTATTTTCAAGTACAAACTTCTACATGAATGTAAGGAACACACACACACACACACACATATATATATATACACACATATGTGTGTATATATATATATTCCTTACATTCATGTTATACATATATATATGTATGTATATATATATATAAGAAAAAAACCAATCTCAAAAGGATACATACTTCAGGATTCCATTTATGTAACTTCATGAAATAACATAGTTATATAGATGTAGAATAGATTAATGGTTACCAAGATTTAGGAATAAGGGAGAAAGGGATGGGTGTAGCTATAAAGAGATAATAGGAGGGAGTCTTGTGGTGATGGTACTATCTATTTCGATTGTTGGAATGGTGATACAAGGCTATATGTGATAAAACTACACAGAGCTATACATACGCACAGAAACACACATACAAATAAGTGTGTATATAAGTAGTGAAATCTGAGTAACTTCTATGGATTATACCAATGTCAATTTTTCAGTATGATATTGTACTATAGTTGTGTAAGATGTTAACACTGGGAGAGGCTGGAGGAAGGGTACATGGAACTTCCGTGTACATTTCTTTGCAACCTCCTGTGAATCTATAACTATTTCAAGGTAAAAGACTTTTAAAAAGAAATCACCACACCATACATGCAAAAGGAAAGGCCTGGCCAGGTATCAAAAATTAGTAAAAAGAATAACATCTTACATGAAAGCAAAACATTTAGGAAAGTATATATCATTTTTCCATGTTTCACCTCTGTATTAGTTTCTTAGAGTCAATGTAACAGTGTACCATAAACTAGGTAGCTTAAAACAACAGAAATATACTCTTTTCATAGCTCTGGAGTACTATGAGTTACAGACATCATCAAAGACCTCTAATTCAGCGGTCCCCAAACTTCTTGGCACCAGAGACTGATTTTGTGGAAGACAATTTTTCCCCGGGGGCGGTGGGGGATGGTTCAGGCAGTAATGCAAGCAATGGGGAGCGGCAGATGAAGCTTTGCTCACTCTCCCGCTGCTCACCTCCTGCTGTGCAGCCTGGTTCCTAACAGGCCGTGGACCAGTACCGGTCCATCAAAAGATGCAATCAACAGAGCTCAACCCCCGCAGCCCAGGGGTTGGGGATCCCTGCTCTAACTTGTGGAATGAACCTGCTCTTAGCCTTCAGGACCCTATACTTTCCTAGGGTCCTACTCCTTCCTTTCTAATCATCCCTCTACCATCTCCATCTCCTCAATGTAGTCATTTGCTTTAATTTTCACAATTTCTAATCAATTAATTTTTCCTAAATATTTTATTAGAAAATATATTCATATGTTCTCGATCCACTACTAGATTAAAAACGTCTTTATAACATTTAAAAAATGTATTCTCATCACCTAGCAAAGCAACTTGTATGAATTTTTTTTAAAAATTAATACTCTGGGCTTCCCTGGTGGCGCAGTGGTTGAGAGCCTGCCTGCCAATGCAGGGGACACAGGTTCGTGCCCCGGTCCGGGAAGATCCCACACGCCGCAGAGCGGCTGGGCCCGTGAGCCATGGCCGCTGAGCCTGTGCGTCCAGAGCCCGTGCTCCTCAACAGGAGGTAGTGAGAGGCCTGCGTACCGCAAAAAAAAAAAAAAAAATTAACCCTCTTTTGCCGGCATCTTTTTTTTTTTTTTTTTTGGTTTTGCGGTACGCGGGCCTCTCACTGTTGTGGCCTCTCCGGCTGCGGAGCACAGGCTCCGGACGTGCAGGCTCAGCGGCCATGGCTCAGGAGCCCAGCCGCTCCGCAGCATGTGGGATCTTCCCAGACTGGGGCACGAACCCGTGTCCCCTGCAGGTGGACTCTCAACCACTGCGCCACCAGGGAAGCCCTGATTGCATCTTTTGATGAACAGAAGTTTTTTAAGTTTGATGTACTCCTATTTGTCTATTTTTGCTGTGCCTTGGTATCATAGCCCAGAAATTACTGCCAAATCCAATGTCATGAAGTTTTTCCCCTATATTTTCTTCTAGGCATCTTATAGTTTTGGGTCTTAGATTTAGTTCTTTGATCCACTTTGAGTTAATTTTTGTATATGGCATAAGGAATTTTATTCCTTTGCATGTGGGTATCCAGTTTCCCCAACACCATTTGTTAAGAGTACAGTCCTTTCCCCCATAGAATGGTCTTGGCACTCTTATCTAAAATCATTTTGTCATATATCTGAGGGTTTATTTCTAGACTCTCTATTCTATTCCACTCATCTATATGTCTGTCTTTATGCCAGTACCACATTGTTTGATTACTGTAACACTGCAATAAGTTTTGAATTCAGATTTTCCCTAATTATTCAGTCTAATGCAACCTTACATTAACCTTATAACCTTAATATAACCAACATTCTTACCAGTTGGCCTACTCCTCACAACAACTTTCTGCTTCCTGATTATAGCTCACTCACCTGGGAACTGTTCTCCTATCACTTCCCTCATAACCATCCAGGGCTCCTTCCCTTGCTCCAATGAGGAGATCACAGCTGGCTTAGAAATAGAAAGTCCTGGTTATAAGAGAAGAAATGGAGATGAGGTGGAAATGAATGTATTCAAATACTGTGTTTCAGAATTTATTTTAAAAAACCTATAGGATAAGATGGTACTCGATAAGGTCTAGAGAAGAAAGAAAAGTGAAATTCTCATATACAGGTAAACTCAGGATCATAAGAAACAAAACAAACAAATAGATGGTAAAATGCTATTTAAGTTATATAAGCTTTCACTCCTTATTTTCCTTTGAGAAAAAAAGGAATTTCCTGAAATACTTATTCTCAGATACTTTTCCATGTTAAAGGTAAAGTTCTTAGAATGTAACTTCCAAATGCAAATTGTTTACATTTGTTGCAGTAAATAGAACAGTGTTCATTTGAGCTGTAAATGTCTCAGTCCATTACTACACTAATTGGGAAGGCTAAAGAGCTTTGCACCCAGGACCCATGTGCTTAGTTTTATCTACACTAGTGCATCTGCACATTTAGCACAGTGCGAGTGAAACAAAAGACAAAGCCTGGTTTCTTTGACTATGCTATGCTTTAATGGTACAGAATTTCAATTCTGCTCCTTAATTTTCAAGGAAGAAAGTCAATTATAAGAAAGGACCAGAGTAAGATGTGAGGATAGAGAAAATGAAGGTGCAACTCCACTGGGCTGTGCTCATTTCTACACAAAGAGAAAATCCATCTAGTTATTTGAAAGGTAGCCCTAAAATTCATAGTGGAGAAAGCAGAAATTCCAAGAAACAGATTCTGAATTATTAGAGGCAGATAACTTTACCCAGTGAAACCAAGTTGCTATAGTTCTCCAACATCACATCTTTGTACAAATTCCGCTGTGCAGGGTTCAGGCATTCCCATTCCTCCTGAGAGACATCTATAGCCACATCTTTGAACATCACCAACCCCTAAAATGACAAATCACAGTACTGTTTTTGAAATTATAAGAAACATTTTTCAAAAGGAAGAAGCACTGCTAAAAGAAGGCACTGCAGGAAAGGGATGGTACAGTGAGTATATAGGCTAAGGCTGGAAGCTTGTATGGGTCAAAAATAAATTTAGTGAGACTAAAGCAGAGTGCCCACATACTCTTAAACAATTCAATTTCTGCACACACATCCTCTAGCATAGGGTGGAAAACTTCTGTTAATCACTCATCTAGAAATTTAGAAAATAAATAGAGGTTCCCAACTAAGTTAAATAGTTGTAAATTTTTCCAAAATTTCTTATGAAAGTCTCCAACTTCAGAAAAAGGACCTGATGATTTTTCTTCCTCATTATGACTAAGCATTTTTACTTTTAATGCAAATTCTTTAGTAAACACCCAGTGCAGACTATATTTTCCAAAGATGGACAGAGCACATCTCCCTTTCATAACCTTGATATACCCACTCACTAGCAGGCCAGTAGCAGCGTTCAGCCCTGCAGCAAACCATGTCAGGAACTGGTCCCATCCACCAGCATGCCGACACCAGATATGGGACCCTCAGCCCCACAACCACCCACTCCAGGACCTGGCTCCACCCACCAGTGGACCCCACTGCCAGCAGTCTCGTGATCCAGCTCTGCCAACCAGTGCCCATCAGCCTCTGCATAAGACAGGGCCTGGCAGACAACTGGACCAGGAGCCAGCCACACCAACCAGACTGCCCACAGTAGTCAGCCCACCACAACAGAAGGACCCACGCAGTCCAAATATGGGGCACCCCTAGACTATATAGCTCTAGTGCGCAGAGGGGAGAGTGCTGCTGGGACACAGACGACGTCTCCTACAAAAGGCCACTTCTCCAAGGTTGGGAAAGGTAACCAATCTATCAGAAACACAGAAATAAAAACAGCCAACTGGGCAAAATGAGGTGACAGAGAAACATCTTCCAAATGAAGGAATAAGATAAAACCCCAGAAGAGGAACTAAGTGAAGTGGAGATAGGCAATCTACCCTATAGAGAGTTCAAGGTAACGATTGTAAAGATGTTCAAAGAATTCAGGAGAAGATTGGATAAACAGTGATAAGCAATAAGTTACATACAAGGGAACTCCCATAAGGCTATCAGCTGACTTTTCAGCAGAAACTCTGCAGTCCAGAAGGGAGTGGCATGATATATTTAAAGTGATGAAAGGAAAAATCTTAACCAAGAGTACCCTACCTGGCAAGGCTTTCATTCAGTTTGATGGAGAGATTAAAAGCTTTACAAACAAAAGCTAAAAGAGTTCGGCACCACCAAACCAGCTTTACAAGAAATGTTTCTCCAAGTGAAAAAGAAAAGGCCACAACTAGAAACATGAAAATTACAGAAGGAAAAATCTCATCTGTAAAGGCAAATATACAGTAAAGGTAGTAAATTAACCATGAAGCTAGTAGGAAGGTTAAAAGACAAAAGTAGGAAAATAATCTATATCTGCATTAAGTAGTTAAGGGATATATATGCAAAACAAAAAGATGTAAAATATGATAAAAACAGGAAAAGTTGGGGAGGGTGCAAAATATGCAGAGTTGTTAAAATGCATTTGAACTTGAGAGATGAGTAACCTAAAATAATGAGAGAAAGAGAGAGAGAGAGAGAGAGAGAGAGATGGAGGAAGAAAGAAAGACTGCTATGTACAGTGTGGGGAATATAGTAGATAACTCTGTAATATTCTTCTATGGTGACATACCATAACTAGACTTATCATGGTGATCATTTTGAAATGTATAAAAATATGAAGTCACTATGTTGTGTAACAGAAGCTAACAGTGATGTTAGGTCAGTTATACTTCAAAAACAAACAAATTCATAGAGAAAGAGATCAGATTTGCAGTTAACAGAGGCAGGGGGTGGGGAGGGGGATTGGATAAAGGTGGTTAAAAGATACAAACTTCCAGTTATAAGATAAATAAGTACTAGGGATGTAATGTACAACATGATAAATATAATTAGCACTGCTGAACGTTATTTATGAAAGTTGTTAAGAGAGTGAATCCTAAGAGTTCCCACAAGAAAAAGAATTTTTTTCTATTTCTTTATTTTTGTATCTACATGAGATGAAGGATTTTACTAACTATTGTGATAATCATTTCATGATGTATGTATGTCAAATCATTATGTTGTACACCTTAAACAGTGCTGTATGTAAATTATATCTCAATAAAACTGGAAGAAAAAATGCTGAAAGAAAGCTGTCAGGCTATAATTCTATTTCCAATTAAAATCCCTCAAAATGAAGGTGAAATAAAGCTTGGAGTTTTATTTTTGCTGCTGTTGGGTTTTGTTGTTGTTGTTGTTTTTGCAGTATGCGGGCCTTTCACTGTTGTGGCCTCTCCCGTTGAGGAGCACAGGCTCCGGACGCGCAGGCTCAGCAGCCATGGCTCACAGGCCTAGCTGCTCCGCAGTATGTGGGATCTTCCCGGATGGGGGCACGAACCCGTGTCCCTTGCATCGGCAGGCAGACGCTCAACCACTGCGCCACCAGGGAAGCCCGGTTTGTTTTTTTGAGAGTAACAAATGTTGCTACAAAAAATGTTAAAGGAAGTTTTTCAAGGTGGAAAAAATTTATACTAAGTAAAAACTTCTATCCACAGAGAAATGAAGAGTGCCAGAAATGATAAATTCGGAGGTAAATAAGAAAGATGTTGTTTTCATCTCATAATTTCTTTAAAAGATAATTGACCATTTAAAGAAAAAAAAAAAAACTGGGAATTCCCTGGTTGCCTAGTGGTTAGGATTCTGGGCTTTCACTGCCATGGCCCAGGTTCAATTCCTGGTCAGGGAACTGAGATCCTATAAGCTGAGTGGCACACCACACCCCCACAAAAAAAAGCAAGAAAGAAAAAAAGAAAAAAAGCATGTGTAGTTTAAAAGTATTTAGAAATAAAATATATGATAGCAGTAGTAAAAATGATGGGAAGGGGAAATGGAAATATCCAGTTTTAAGATTTTTGAGTTATGTATGAAGTTGTATAAAATTATTGGAAGATCTAGTAAGATTTTTTTGTTTTTAAAATCACATTGGAAATCTTAGAACAACCCCCAAAACAATAAACAAAACAAAACAAAACAAAAATGGTACAGCTAATAATCCTATAATGGAGATAAATGGAATACAAAAAAATACAGGATCAGTCCAAGAGAAGGCAGGAAAATAGGAAAAAAAAAAAAAGGAAGAAAGGATAGATGATAAGATGATAGATTAAAACATAATCATTACATTTAATTTACATGGTCTATCTAGAAGTCAGCAAAACTTTTCTGAATAGGGTCAGGTAGTAAATATTTTAGGCTCTGTGGATCACATATAGTCCCTATAACATATTCTTTTTTCTTTACTTATTTATAACCCTTCTGAAATGCAAAACCATTCTTAGGTTGAGGGCCAGAGGAAAACAGGTTGTGGGCTGGATTTAGCCAGCATGCCATAGCTTGCTAAACCCTGTGTAGACACTTGAAGGCAGCGACTGTCAGACTGGGTAAAAAAGTAGAACCAAAGTATATGCTGTTATATGAGATACACTTAAAATAGGTTAAAATAAAAGGATGGGGCTTCCCTGGTGGCACAGTGGTTGAGAGTCCGCCTGCCGATGCAGGGGACACGGGTTCGTGCCCCGGTCCGGGAGGACCCCACATGCCATGGAGCGGCTGGCCCCATGAGCCATAGGCGCTGGGGCTGCGCGTCCAGAGCCTGTGCTCTGCAACGGAAGAGGCCACAGCAGTGAGAGGCCCGCGTACCGCAAAAAATTAAAATTAAAATTAAAAAAAATAAAAGGATGGAAAAAAGATATGCCATGAAGAAAACGGTAAAAGAAAGCTGAATCAGTTATGTTAATAAAGAGAACAGAATTCAAGACAAAGAATATTACCAAAAGGAACATTTCATGATCAAGAGGTCAATTTGTCAAGAGGATATAGCAATCCTAAATATGTATGCACCTAATAACACAGCTTCAATACCATAAAGCAAAAACTGACAGAACTGTAACAGATCTACCATTGTATCTGGAACTTTCAACTGTCCTCTCTCAGTAATTGATAGACCAAGTGACAAAAAAAAATTAGTAAAGATATAGAAATGTTGATCACCACTACAAACATTTGACCTAACTGATAAACACTCTACCCAACAGTATAATGCCCTTTTTTTTTAATTGCACATTGAGCATTCACCAAATTGTCCACATTTTGGACCATAAGACAAATCTCAATAAATTTAAAAGGATAGAAATTACAGAGTATGTTCCTCGACCATCACAGAATTAAATTAAAAATGAACTATCAGAAAGATCTGGAAAAGCTCCCAAATATTTGGAAGTTAAAGAGCACTCTTCTAAATAACCCACGGGTGAAAGAAGAAAGGGAATTTTAAGCTAGAAAAATAAGAGAAAATTAAATTTAAAATATACAGAACAAAGGAAAGAATAAATAAGATCAGTAATCAGTGAAACAGCAAGGGCAAACTAGAGAGAAAAACCAGTAAAACTAAAAGCTGGTTCTTTGAAAAGACCAATAAAATTGACAGGCTGCTAGTATACTGATCAAGAAAAGAAGACATAAATTATCAATATCAGGAATTTAAAAGTGTGCATTACTGTAGATCTGACAGGCATTAAAATGATAATAAGGGAATATTATGAACAACTTTCTGCCAATAAATTTGACATCTAAGTTGAAATAAACTAATTCCCTGAAAGGCACAAATTACTAAACTAATTCAAGAAAAAAAAAAAAAACCAAAGCCCTTTATCTATTAAAGAAATTAAAGTCTCCCCATGAAGAAAACTCTAAACTCAGATGGTGTATTAGTTTTATACTGATGCTGCACATATCACCACAAATGCAGTAGCTTAAAACAACAAATTTATGATCTGTTGGTTAGAAGTCCAACAAGGGTTTTACTAGACTAAATCAAGGTGTTGGCTGGGCTGTGCACCTTTCTGGTAGCTCTAGGAAAGAGTCCATTTCCTCACCTTTTCTAGCTTCTAGAGGTTACTTACGTTCCTTGGCTCATGGCCCACTTCCTCCATCTTCAAAGCCAGTAATGTTGCATTTTTTTAACCGAAGTATGCATATTCCATACGCACATCCTCTTTGCGTTATCTTCAGATAACCCAAGATAATCTCCCCATCTCAAAAGCATTAATTTGGGGGACTTCCCTGGTGGCACAGTGGTTAAGAATCCACCTGCCGGATTCAATGCTGGACACAGGTTCAATCCCTGGTCCAGGAAGATCCCACATGCCGCAGAACAGCTAAGCCCGCGTGCCACAACTACTGAACCTGTGCTCTAGAGCCCGCAAGCCACAACTACTGAGCCCACATGCCACAACTACTGAAGCCTGTGTACCTAGAGCCCATGCTCTGCAACGAGAAGCCACCGCAGTGAGCAGCCCGTGCACCGCAACGAAGAGCAGCCACCGCTCACTTGCTGCAACTAGAGAAAGCCTGCATGCAGCAACGAAGACCCAACACAGCCAAAAATAAATAGATAAATAAATAAATTTATTTTTTAAAGCATTAATTTAATCATATTTGCAAAGTCTCTTTTGCCACGTAAGGTAACCTATTCACAGGTTCTAGGATTAGCACGTAGACAGTTTTTTTTTGAGGGGGGCTCATTATTCTGCCTACCACAGATGCTTTTTGCTGGTGAGCTCTATCAGACAATTAAGGAATAAATAATACTAATTCTATAAAAAAAACTCTTCCAGAAAATAGAGGAGGAGGATGCAAGTCCTGACTTATCTTATAAATAAAGAAGGAATAAAGACATTTTCACATAAAGAAAGCTGAGAGGATTTGTCACTAGAAGATACAAACTACAGGAAATGCTAAGGAAATGTCTTCAGGCCAAAAAGAAATGATATCAAACAGAAATTCAGATCTCAAGAAGAGAGAGCAATTGAAAATGGTGTATATGTGAATAAATAAAATGGATTTGCAAAGAATCAAATACAGTATTTTTTTCAAGAGTCTATTGAATTTCCTTTGTTTCTGTGGATTTTCCCCTTTTCATTTTGTATATTTGTGCTTTCTCCCTTTTCATTCATGATTCAAAGGTTAGTGATTTAACTTATTGATTTATCTTATTAGTTATAATTTTTTCCTGTTTTGTAACACATGTAATTTTTATCTTTGTAAATCCCTTCCAGATTTCTTTCTACTTATTTTTAACTTACAAATTTTCATTATTTTTTGTTAGAAGCATTTAAATCTATGACTTTTCCCTTAGAGTCCTGCTTTAACTAAATTCCATGGGTTCCAATATGTAGTGCTATCACTGACATGAGAAATTTTTCACTTTTTAGATTATATTTCTTCTTTGATTCAGCAGTTACTAAGACAGATTTTATAAACTTCTGGTAAGAATAACAATTTTTCTGATTCTGTAATTAAATTCTAGTTGTATTTCACTGTGTTCAGAGAATACTGTCTACCATTTGTATTTTTTGGGCTTTACTACAGCCTAATATTTTGTCATTTTCTTCTGAATGGTCCATGGATACCTAAAAAATGCATATTCACTACTATTAGCATTTCATGTATATCAATAAGATAGATTTGATGGAGTATGTGATTTAGTACTTCAATATCCTTAACTAAATTTTGTCCACTTGTCTTGACTTTGACTAAGATGGTTAACTAATATCCCCTACTGCTGGCAAGTATCTACTTCTTCTTCTATCTGCTTTTCTATTTGTTTTAGGAAAGTTGCTGCTGTAATATTTTATATGTAGGTAATTCATAAGTATTTTAGCTTCACTTTGAAATTTACACTTTAGAATTATGTAGTGTCCTTCTTTGCCATGTTTTTTAAAAAAATATATTTATTTATTTATTTTCAACTGTGTCAGGTCTTAGTTGCAGCATGTGGGATCTTTCCTTGCAGCGGATGGGCTCCAGAGTGCATGGGCTCTGTAGTTGTGGTGTGCAGGCTGCAGAGAGCATGGGCTCTGTAGTTGCAGCACACGAGCTCTCTAGTTGTGGCATGGGCTTAGTTGCCCCACAGCATGTGGGATCTTAGTTCCCCAACCAGGGATGGAACGCGCATCCCCTGCATTGGAAGACGGATTCTTAACCACTGGACCACCAGGGAAGTCCCTCTTTGCCATGTTTAATTGTGTGATGTGGCCTAAAGTTTAGTATGTTTTCCTTTAGTTTTCATTTGCCTGGTATAATTTGTCCATCCTTTTATTAAACTTTCTGAATCACTGAATCACTTAAGCATCTGATGCAGAGTTGAATTTTTCTTTGTGACTCAATCTGAAAGACTTTTTCTCTTAATAGGTATGTTAAAACTCATATCCAGGGACTTCCCTGGTGGTGCAGTGGTTAAGAATCCGCCTGCCAATGAAGGGGACATGGGTTTGAGCCCTGGTCTGGGAAGATCCCACATGCCATGGAGCAACTAAGCCCATGAGCCACAACTACTGAGCCTGCACTCTAGAGCCCATGAGCCACAACTGCTGAGCTCACGTGCCACAACTACTGAAGCCCACGTGCCTAGAGCCCATGTTCCACAACAAGAGAAGCCACTGCAGTGAGAAGCCCGTGCACTGCAATGGAGACTAGCGCCACTTGCTGCAACTAGAGAAAGCCTGAGTGCAGCAACAAAGACCCAACGCACCCAAAAATTAAAATTAAAACAAAACAAACAAACAAAGAGAACTCATATACAGTCACTGATTGATAAGACATATATTTGCTCTTTCATCTTAGTTTTACCATACAATTATTTTGTTCACTACATATACACAGTCATCCCTTGGTATCCACAGGGGATTAGTTCCAGGACCCCCGCAGATACCAAAAGCTGCAGATGCTCAAGTCCCATGTAAAATGGCATAGTATTTGCGTATAACCTACACACATCCTCCCACATGCTTTAACTCATCTCTAGATTACTTATAATACCTAATATAATGGAAATGCTATGTAAATAGTTGCTTGCATGAAGCAAATTCAAGTTTTGCTTTATGGAACTTTCTGGAATTTTTTTTCCTGAAGATTTTCAATCTACAGTTGGTTGAATCCATAGATGTGGGACCCACAGATATGGAGAGTTGACCATATATATATATATAATGTATATACATACATACATATGCACATATGTATGTGTGTCTTAAGTCTTGTACTATATAAGCTGATTATTTACTTTCTGTCTCTTTCATTACAAGTCAAGTTCCACAAGGAATGATTTGTATGTGTCTGATTTTTACCCCCCACTGATTTATTCCTAGTTCTCTAAAAGAATGCCTATCACATAGTAGATATTCAATAAATATTTGTTAAATCAGTTCATCAAACCAAAGTTCTGACAAGAAGAACATCAATATTTCCCTCAAAAGGATACTATTTCTGTTCTTTCCTTATTCTGGCAGAAGACTCAGCATATGGGAAATAAGTAATGATTTACTGAATGAGTATATAAACTGGTTAGAGAGATGAGCAAAAAAGGAAGATCCTATATTTTTGGCACAATCACTTACTCACTCACTGGCAAGTTACTGTGTGATATTCAGTTAGGTAACAATATCAGGATGCAGAATGCAAATATTCACATGACCTATAGGAAAAAAAGAGGACTACTTCAATGAGGAACAAGAAAACAACAACTTACATGGGCCATGGCTTTTTTTTTAGAATTCAATGTATTTATTAGTTGTCTTCTTAGTTCCACTTTAGAAGAAATTCACAGTCCAAAGAAAGTGTTGCTGAATGAGAGGGGTTTAAAAATAAACAAAAACAAACATGAGATGATCTTGCCTCTGAGCTCCCAATGTGCTAACTTAGAATGACATTTCCCCCACTTCACATCTCTTACTCCCAGACCCCATACACACATACATAAAAGATCAGAGAAAAGATGAACCAATCCCAACCTTACTCAAAGCAAGGAGGGAATCCAGCTATGGATTCAAGAAAGACTGGGCCCAGGCTCTTTAGCAGGAGTGATCTAGAGAGGCAAATCAGTGTCCCAACACTATGATAAAATCAAGCCAACTGGCCTGCTCAGACCTACCCTGACCAGATTCTCACTGAATTAAGAGGAAAAAGAAAAGGAAATGGACCTTATGAAAAGGTCAGGGAAAGAGAAAATGACTCAAAAGATGTAACAGATCTTTGGTTATATCTAACATTCTTGTGTAACAGGAACTTCAAAAATAGACACTAAAGCAACACTGAAAAGAAGAAATAGAACAAAGATGTCCGGAGCAAAATAAATACTTGAGTCTGAAGTACCGGTGAGAATTTAAAAAACCACATCCTGGAAAATCTTCTGAAATTCATCCCTAAATACAGGCAAAAAAGACCTAAATATCTTTTAATAAGGAAATACAAAACAATGTGTATTGTGTTCTAATCTTTGGGGAAAAAATACTCATGAACATAAGCATATATGTATGTACACAGAGGGTGAAAACATTTGCAATAAAATGTTCAGAGTGGTTGAAGAATTATAGATAACTTTTACTTTAAATGAAGTAATATAACAAAGGAATTTTGAAGGTTAATGTGAAAATTTCAGGTAAGATGCAGCACCTAATCATCTTAGACACTGTTTTTGGATGTGCAACAGTGCCATTCTTTCCTCCAATTAGAGGTGTTTCTAAGGGGGATGGCAGAAGTAGTGAGGTAGAGAAAAATTATGAGATACTAGGTTTTTCTGGAAGCTCAAATTTTGTGTGACCTTGAGTGTGGTGTGGAGTAGATGTTGTCTGTGACCATGAAGACTATGTTTCTCTGATTCTTGGTGATGTGTGTGAGCTCTTCAGATAACTGTGGAGGACACCGACTAAGTGGGCATACGGTTAGTTGTTTGTTGTTGTTTCCTTTCTTTTTCTTTTTTTTTTTTTTTACTATGTAAGTCACTTTGAGGTTGTATGATGATGATAAACACGGGGGGGATGGTGGGATTATGTGGCTTTGGCTTTATGACGTGTGTATGAATCTATAGGTGCCTACTGGAATGTCTTCCTAACTACCTGATTACGGTGAGCCTGGGTTTAAATGTTTGTGTAAACGTGCTTTTCTTTATATAAGTAAATGGGGCTTACACAAATAGTCACCCGCAATCATGATCATAAACACATACAAACTCCATTTACACACATGGCCAATGCACAAAATTACAACGGTCACAAAAGCACGAATCCAGTTGCTGTCACAACAAACAGCCAAATACCCTTAGTCATGAGACTAATTTCCGTCACGCACGCACAGACTAACCTACTCTCCCTAGGTCTGCTCCCGCACTAAGAGGCCTAACACTCCAGACACTCCTCTTGCCCGGTCCTGGGGCTACAGGATTCCTCACCTTCAGCATCCTCAGGAGGAGCTCTGGTCCAAGTTCTGATTGGACTTCCCGGCGAAGCCGCACGCCGAGCCCTGCCTACTTTACCCGTAAAGGGAAGCCCTCAACTGCCTCTGCGGCCGACCATTCAACCGACGTTCTGACCGGAAGTAGCTTTGGAAAGCCGTGTCCTCTGGGAAACTTAGTCCTAGAGGAAGGAGCCCGGGAGGCTAAAGAGGTAGGTCTTCCGCCCGACTTCCGGCCGCACCTGCGCTGTTTCACTCGGGCTTGGAGTGACGACACAACCACCCAGTTTGCGTGGCTCACACCTGGGTTTGGGGGTCTGAATTCGGAACCTCAGATTTCTCTGAGGACGGATTTCAAACCTGACACGGTGGCTGTCCCGACCCCCCAATGTGCACGTTCGCGGGCTTAAGAGAACTGTTGTCTGGTGCGGAGAGATCCAGCCTCTGGATGGTTCTCTCCGCGGTTGCGATGCGAGATGTATTCTGTGAGTCCGTTACGTATGCGGGGGTGCGTCTCATCGAGAGGCAGATGATTATGTGACACCGACTGTGAGGGTGTCATGCGTGAGGAAATCTGTATGTGAAAGTGGATGTGCTACATATTCGTGTAGGTTCAAGCAGTGAGCTCGGCCACGTGCAGTGATTGTGAGGTGGCATAATGTGATGTGACTTACCTGTGAGTGGTGCTTTGAGACCGTGTGATTGATTACGCATGCTTGCGGGTGGCGTGGCTGGCTATGCTGGCAGTGACCTCACAACGTTCTGTGGAAGGCTGTCTGTGCTGGGTCCACCTATGACTACCGGGAGGGTTTAGGTGTGGCGAGTGTCCGCGGGTTAATTTCACCAGCGAAGGGAGGAAGCTGGTCTGTTGGAACTAGGAGGGACCCAGTGGATGAATCACAGATCCCTGGGGCAGGCGAGCTGGTCCTGGGCCGTTCGTGGGTTGGGGGGGGGGGGCGTGTGTGAGGTGACATTGTGTGTCTAAGTGTGTGTGACAGGCTGGAATTAATCCAGAGGGGTGGAAACTAGTACGATTATCTGCGATAAGGGACACATCTATGGTAAAGCTTTTTAATCTTGCTGAGGCCAGAAGCTCCATCTCTTAAGTGTGAGGAGACATAGTATCTCTGAGAACATGTGGTTTGTGACTGTACCTTAGATGGTTTGCACTTGAGCCTATCACTGGGAGGGGTGTTGAGTGAAATATATAAAGTATGTGAAAGTGGTTTGTGACTGTACCCAAGTCTCTGCATATGGCAGTAAAAGGGCTGGTGATTATAACGTTGTGACTTTGATGTTTTGAGTATGATTGAGTGGGAGGTCATGCAAGAGATTTGGTAGAGGTGTTTTTGTGTGTGTTAGAATGCAATTTATGCAAGTTAAGATCTGGATGGAAGACAGTGTGTGGTTGTGATCTGAATTTAGAAACTGTGAGAGACTGCAATATTATGTGTGTGAGATTGAGCAGAGGTGATACCTACTCTGAACCTCACATATCTCTAAAAAGATAATAATGGCTAAGCTTCCTGAAGCATCAGAGTTACTTGAAAATTTAAATTTCCAATGGAAATTCTTTTAAATCTAAGAAGAGTTAAAACATGACTTTAAAAATATAAAATAATTTATTGTGATGAAGAATGCAAAATGACCATGAAAGGTTTTTTAGTTGGTTTGTTTTTTAATTTCTGTTATGTGGTTACTGGGAGTATGGTTGATATTCTTTGGTGGAAGTGAAATAGATGGGAAGTCTACTAAATTCTTAACTTGATCTGTATAAGTGGAAGAGTTCTAAGTCAAGAGAACAAAAGCTTAACTTGAATAATAAAAACAGAGAGTCATGGCCGTTCAATTCCCAGACTTGACCCAGTGTGCAAACTTAGAACCCCTTTAATGAGAGACGCTGCTCCATTGCCAAAAATGTATACTGTTAATTTTTCCCCTAAGCTTTCCCAAAAGAACCTACAGGCTTTACCAGGATAACTGTATGTTGAGGAAAAGGAAATAATCAGACCTTTCAGGGATTACTGGACGATGGCTCTGAATTGACACTAATTTCAGGAGACCCAAAACATCATTGTTGTCCACCAGTCAGAGTAGGCGCTTATGGAAATCAGGTGATCAATGAAGTTTTAGCTCAAGTCCATCTCACAGTGGACCCTGAACCCATCCTGTGGTTTTTCCCCCAAGTTCTGGAATGGATAATTGAGATAGACATACTCAGGAACTGTAAGAATCCCCTCACTGGCTTTCTGCCCTGTTGAGTGAGGGCTATTATGGTGGGAAAGGACAAATGGACGACACTAGAATTGCCTCTACCTAGAAAAATAGTAAACCAAAAGAAACACTGCACTGCAGAGATTAGTGCCACTATTAAGGGCTTGAAAGATGCAAGGGTGGTGATTCCCACCACATCCACATTAAACTTGCTTATTTGGCCTATGCAGAAGACAGATGGATACTGGAGAATGACAATGGATTATCATAAGCTAAACCAGGTAGTGAATCCAATTGTAGCCGCTGTACCAAATGCGGTTTCATTCCTTGAGGGAATTAGCACATTCCCTGGTACCTGGTATGCAACCATTGATCTGGCAAATTTTTTTCCTCTCCATCCCTGTCAATAAAGACAACCAGAAGCAGTTTGCTTTCAGCAGGCAAGGCCAGCATTACATCTTCAGTGTTCTACCTCAGGGCTATATCAACTCTCCAACCCTATGTCGTAATTTAGTTCATAGGGATCTCGATTACCTTTCCCTTCCACAAGATGTCACGCTGGTCCATTTCATTGACAGCAATATGCTGATTGGACCTAGTAGCAAGAAGTGGCAACTACTCCAGACTTACTGGTAAGACATTTATTTGTGTGTCAGAGGGTAGAAAATAAATCCAACAAAAACTCAGGGGCCTTCTACCTCAGTGAAATTCCTAGGGACCCAGTGGTGTGGGGCATGTCAGATACCCCTTCTAAGGTGAAGAAGGATAAGTTGTTCTTATCCTTATCTGGCCCCTCCCATAACCAAAAAAAGAGGCGCAAAGCCTAGGAAGCCTCTGGATTTTGGAGGCAACATATTCCTCATTTGGATGTGTTACTTCCATCCCTTTACTGAGTGACCTGAAAAGTTGCTAGTTTTGAGTAGGTCCCAGAACAAGAGAAGGCTCTGTGACTCTGCAACAGGTCCAGACTACTGTGCAAGTTGCTTTGCCATTTGGGCCATATACCCCAGCAGACCCAATGGTGCTTGAGGTATCAGTAGCAGATAGGGATGCTGTCTGGGGTCTTTGGCAGGACTCTATAGGTGAATCACAGCATAGGGCCTTAGGGTTTTGAATCAAAGCCCTGCCATCCTCTGCAATTAACTACTCTCCTTTGGCGAAACAGCTTTTGGCCTGTTACTGGGCCTTAGTAGCGACTGAACACTTAACCATGGGCCACCAAGTTAACACGCGATCTGAGCTGCCGATCATGAACTGGTTGTAATCTGACCCACCAAGGCATTAAGTTGGGTGTGCACAGCAGCAATCCATCATGAAATGAAAGTGGTATGTTGATCAGGCCAAGCACACCCTGACAGCACATGTAATCCTCCTACTGGGCAGAATTTCAAGCAGTGCACCTGGTTACTTATTTTTCTTGGAAGAAGAAATGGCCAGGTGTACAATTATATATGGATTCATGGGCTGTGGCCAATGATTTGGCTGGATGGTCAGGGACTTGGAAGGAACATGATTGGAAAATTGGTGACAAGGAAGTCTGGGAAAGAGGTATGGACCTCTCTGAATGGGTAAAAATGAAGATATTTGTGTCCCATGTGAATGCTCACCAGAGAGTAACCTCAGCAGAGGAGGATTTCAATGAAGTGGATAGAATGACCCATTTTGTGGATACCAGTTTCTTTCCTCAGTCATCCTTGTCATCACCCAATGGGCTCATGAACAAAGTGGCCATGGTGGCAGTGATGGAGGTTAGGCATGGGTACAGCAACCTGGTCTTCCATTCACCAAGGCTGACCTGGCTATAGCCACTGCCAAATGACCAATCAGCAGAAGAAACCAACACTGAGTCCCCAGTATGGCACCATTCCCTGGTGGCAGGTTGATTACACTAGACTGTTTCCATCGTGGAAGGGGCAGCATTTTGTTCTTACTGGAAGAGACACTCTGGATACAGACTTGCCTTTATTGCACATAATGCTTCTGCCAAAACTACCATCTGTGGACTTGCAGAATGCCTTATCCACTGTCATGGCATTCCACACAGCATTGCTTCTGGTCAAGAAACTCATGTCACAACAAATAAGTGCAGCAATGGTACCATTCCCATGGAATTCACTGGTCTTACCATGTTCCCCACCATCTTGAAGCAGCTGGCTTGAAAGAACAATGGAATGATGTTTTGAAGACTCAGTTACAATGCCAGCTTGGTGGCAGTATCTTGCAGGGCTGAGGCAAGGTTCTCCTGAAGGCTGTATTTGCTCTGGATCAGTGTCCGATATTTGGTGCTGTTTCTTCCATGGCCAGTATTCACAAGGCCAGGAATCAAGTAATGGGAGTGATACCACTCACTATTATCCCTAGTAACCCAATAGTAAAATTTTTGCTTTCTGTCCCCACAACTTCTGTTCTGCTGCCCAGAGGTCTTAGTTCCAAATGGAGGGATGCTTCCACCAGGAGACACAATGATTCCATTGAACTGGAAGTTAAAGACTGCTACCCAGCCATTTTGGGCTCCTTAACCCTCTGAATCAACAGGCAAATAAGGGAGTTACTGTGTTGACTGGGGTGGTTGATCTTGCCTACCAAGAGGAAGTTGGATTGCTACTCCACAAGGGAGGTAAGGAAAAATATGTCTCAAGTACAGGGGAACCTTTCCAGTATCTCTTAGTATTAACAGGCCCTGTAATTAAAGTGAATGGAAAACTACAACACTACTCAGGCAGGACGACTGATGGGCCACATTCTTCAAGAATGAATATTTGGGTCACTCCACCAAGTAAAGAACCATGACAGGCCGAGGTGCTTGCTGAGGGCAAAGGGAATATGGAATGGGTAGGGGAAGAAGGTAGTTATAAAAATGCCAACTATAACTGTGTGATCACTTTCAGAAATGAGGACTGTAGTTGTCATCAGCATTTCTTCCTTATTTTGTTGTATTTGTGTATGTGTGTATAGTAGATATCTTTGTTTTCTTCCCTTTTTTATCCCTTTATCATTGTAACATAAGATGTACTGACCTTTTATCATTGTATTTAAGTATTATTAACTTTACATCATAATATTTAAGTTATGAGATATCAAAGAGAAGAGTAAATATCAACCAAGGACTTTGCAACCTCTTCTGGGCAGAGGATTAATGTGTTTTTTGGTTATCTGCAAGATATTTCTATGATATTACGTGGAAGTATGACCTTGTTATTGTCTTTATTCGGAGATTAAGTATGGCTTAAGGAGATGCATATACGTGCCAGGTTGTCACAGGGTAGATTTATGATGGCTAATTTTATGTATCAGTTTGGCTGCGCACAATGCGGTCAAACATCATTCTGGATATTTCTGTGAAGATGTTTTTTAGATGAGATTAACATTAAATCAGTGAACTTTGAGTAGAGCAGATTACCCGCCATAATGTGGGTGGGCCTCCTCGAATTAGTTAAAGGTCTCAACAGAACAAAGACTGACCTCTCCCAAAGCAAGAAGGAACTCTGCCAGCAGAGAGATTTCAGATTTGAACTGCAGTTGTTCCCTGGGTGTTCAACCTGCTGGCCTGGCCTGCCGATTTTGGATTTAACAAGCCTCCACAATCTCATGAGCTGATTGCTTAAAATCTCTCTCTCTCACAACCTTATGAGCCAATTCCTTAAAATCTCTCTTAATCCCCCCCCCACACACACACATACACACACATCTTATTGGTTCGGTTTCTCTGGAGAACACTAACTAATACACTAGTCTAAGTATTTTACATATATTGTCTCATTTAATCCTCATGAGAACCCTGTGAAGGAGGTATCCTTATCATTCCCAGTAAA